GCTGTATAATTGACGAAGGAGTTTGACCTAACGTTACTGGCGTATTTGACTACGCCTTGAGAGCTTCATTGACGGAAGTTGTTTTAAAGTACGTATTCAGCAAAGCCGATCGAAAGTATCTGATATTTTCATGTAAAATTTAATTCGTCGAGGGACTGAAATTATTATTTACTATATTTTTATTTAGGCAAACAAGAATCATGGAGCTGTTAGGACTTCATAAATTCAAACATGAAATTTTTTATTCATATGGAGAATATCCACCTTCTATCATCCGAGCCAGAGTCTTCCGTTGCGTACAGTCGATAGTGATCAACGTACAGAGTTCATGGCAGGACACCGTACTGTGGAGTGTTCATTCCCAATAAACTGCGATTGCCTGTGACGAATTCTTCAGCAGAATTATAAGGTGCCTGCTACAAAGCAAAAGAGTTTCCTATGTCCTTTAACAGTTAAAAATGCATTTGAGGTCCCTATCCGAACAGATCAGTCAAGAAAGTATGGTAAGATTTTTATCGAATTATTTATCTGTCACAGTAGGTTAGGAATCATAAGCAAGAAGGGTGGAAAGTGCTGCTACGACAGGACGATGCAGACGTAAGGTCGGCATTGGGGCGTTCAAGCCAACGAAGTATGGCTTCTGGCGATTGCGTCGTTGAAATGTTCGAAATCGACGGACTTGCCTGGAGAAGTCGTTTTAACCCTGAGTACCATGATCTGCCTCTGGGCAGCCGGAAGGAAGGCAAGACTGCGACTTACTTCATTGCGGGTGCTTCCTGCTGCTTCAGCAATGGCACTGTACGCAGGAACCTATGCTGCAAGTGTCGCCAGGGGATCAAACCGCGCGATCGTACTTTGATTGATTCTGTCAGGGACAGAAAGTATTTTATGCGGAAACACCGGAATAACGCCATTCTGCTAGAGCCATAACTTTGTACGCTGTGAGAGGGCTCTCGATGATCAGAAGCATGAGATGGCGTTCACGGTTGAAACAATGAGGCCAAGACGACGATGCGCCTCGTATCTGTGACGTCTGGAAGAGTTTTACAAGTTTCCGAGGTAACGGAATTGCTCCACGCCGTTAATAGGCTGGTGCTTA